CCGGCATCCGGATGCGAATCGGGCGCGCGACGAGCGAGGACGGCGGGCTGAGCTGGGCGCGCGAGCCCGAGCCCGTCGTCAGCGCCGACGCGGCGGAAGGCCTGTTTGCTTCCTGGCCGCGGGTGCTCCCTCCGGCGCTGACGGGCGGCCCGTGGCGGATGCTCTACCACTCGTTCGACGGGCGGCGCTGGCGCGCCTTCTGCTCGCCGGAGCGCAGCGCTGCCCCCGCCTCCCGGGGGCGGGGGGCTCACAGCGCGTCGAGCCCAGAGTCGTCGGGAGGCGGGGGCAGCGCTGCCGCCTGCGAGCGCGTCTGCATCGCCACCACGAGCGCGCGGTGCAGGCGGTACCAGTCGTTTGCCTAGCGACGCGAGAGCTGCGGCTGGCGGCCGAGCCTCGGCCCGGAAGGCGCGCAGGCGAGGAGAGAGACTCGGACCGACAGCTGAGCGGCGCGAGGGCCGTCGAGCGCGCGCAGCAGCGCAAGCCCGCCTTCCCAGTCTGCCGCCTCCTGGTATGGCTGCAGCGCGTCGCGCGCCGCCGCGGCGACCGCTGGGTCGGATCGAGGCGCTGTCGGGCGGCCGTGCACGAGCCACCGGAGGTACATGCTCGTCCCTCCGACGAGGACGGGCGTCTTGCCGCGCGAGAGGACCTGCGGCCGGGGGTTGGCGGGCCTCGAATCTCGCGCTCGGCCTGTTGGCTCCGCTCCGCCCCTGCCACAGCCCACGACCTCGTCGACAGCGGTGAGTGCGTCGGCGTAGAAGGTGCCGGCGGTGTAGTCGTCGCTCAGCTCGGCGACGTCGATGAGGTGGTGCGCCGTGCGCGCCCGCTCCACCGCCGACGGCTTGTTGGCGCCGATCTGAAGACCGCGGTACACCTGAGCCCAGGGTGCCACCATGCCGGCTGGTGTGTGTGGCGACGGGCATTTTGAGTGCTGTCGCGTTCTCGTGCATGTGTGACCCGAGTGCTGTGCACCCACGTGTAAGCCGGCGTCCGCCGTCGCTCTCACCTGCACCGAGTCGACAGAGACCAGCTCGCCCGGGAGCGCCTCACACAGTCGCATGCCGAGCGCCGACTTGCCCACTGCGGTCGGCCCGGCGACTACCACCACGCGTCTCGCGACTGGCGCAGGCATCGGTAGCACGAAGCCTCGGCAGGCTGTCACTAATCGACCTCCTGGACGGGCGATGCTGTCGAGCGTCGTGAGCGCGAGACGCGTGAGCGGAGGGCCGAGCACCAGAGGGCCGTGAGCGAGCCACCAGCGTCCAGGAAAGAGAAAAGGGTGCCAAAGCGCATTTAGAAAAGCGATCCCACAGCGATTGTGGGGACATCCGTACGTGAAGGGTGGAGGGCCCGTCCGCAGAGCGTAGAGGCGGTGCGGGCCGGCACGACCACGTCGCACGCGGCACCAACCCCCCACCGCGCACCGGGGCCGAGCGTAAGTTAGAGGCCGTTGCCTCTTGGTCTTGCGCTGTTCTTGAAAGAAAACGATGCGGGGGTTAACTCTACTCTACGGACTACGCTCACCCGCTCCTCACGGGCGCACATTCCACATAATTACACGCATCGCTCAAAGTCACCAGAACTTGAAGGGATTCTGAGAGAACTCCTGCTTGTCCTCCTTGACCTCCCTGGTGAGCTGTGCCTGCAGCCGCGACATCTTATCCGCCTCCTTCTTGGCCGCCTCCGACGCCTTTTGCTTCGCCTTCTTGTCCTTTTCGCCGGACCGCTCCACCACAAAGTCAATCGTCATACCCTGCCGCACCGCGATGCTCTTCTCGAGACGCATCTTACCGATCCCCTTCGCCGACCACATCTCACCGCCAAACGTCGCCGAGACCATGACAATCTGCGGCCGCGGACAGAGCGGGCGCTCAGAGCAGCCCTGCAGCGCGCCAGCGGGCGGGGGGAGAGGGCACGGCAGGACGCTGAGAGCGAGAGCGCGCGCCTCGTCGCCCTTTTGGATCTTGCCAGACTTCTCCAGGCGGGACGCCTCGGTGTTTGGCAGGATCTGGTCGATGTAGACCGCCTTGCCAAAGGACTCGCGGAACTTGAGCCCGAGCGTCAGCCCCGTCGTGGCCTGGTTGGGCTTGCGGAACTGCACGCGCGTGGACCCCGATGGAGCGTCGCGCAGGGAGAGGAACTCACGCTGCTTCTTGCTCTCCTCTACGGCGCGACGCGCGCGGGGGCAGCGCAGAGGTCAGAGCGCGCAGCGGTGCCACAGAGGTGCAGTCGGTGGCGCGGCTGCGGCGCACCAGTGCGGCCGAAGAGGTTCATCATCCGCACATGCGGAGCGACGGGCGCAGCGGCGGTGGCGGCGGCGACGGAGCCGCGCGAGGCGGTGCCCGCCGGCGCCACGAACGAGCACACCGCGACCGAAAGCGCGAGCATGCTATTGCTGTGAAGTTACCGCGCCAGAAAAGAATTTCGACGTTTACGGGAGTGGTGTGGCACTGCAAAGGCGACGTCTTGGAAGATGCCGAAAAATAGAGAAACGTAGAGTTACGTCACTGAGACGAAACCCCCCCCCCCCCCCTCAACGCTCAAGACAGCATGTCTCTGGTCATCTTCCTGCTCCTCGCTCGGTCGGGCGGCGACACGGGTGGCAAGGTCGATAGGGAAGCCCTCTCCGCGCGCGGCGACGGTGGGCCGCCGCAGCGGTCCCGCTCCTCTCGCCCGACTCGCCGCCTGCTAGGGTGCCCACACTCAGCAGAGGCCTCTCACACCTGCCTCCGGTGCCATCGTCAAATTTGGGCACCCCCGACCCGGGCTCCACATCTTGGCTGCACTCGACTCCGCCGGACCACGCTGCGATCCATCCGGCCACGCGCAGGCCATGCGACAGGACGAACAACCAGGCGACGCATCCTGGTTCACCGCTGAGCTCAAAGAACCCGGCGACCACAGCGGCAAAGCTGACGATTCACGCTTTGTCGAGCGCTCCATCCATGGCGAGTGCACCATGGAGGAGTGCGCCGGGGCCAGCCCCGAATGGTGCTATATTACACACGCCAAGGCCCGACAAATCGCCCACAGGGAAGTCAATCCATTCTCTCGCCAAATTCCAACCGCACTCGATGCTCGGCCCCGCTTCCATCAGCCGTGCATCACTTTGCCGTGCTCCACCTCCAGTTGCGGCCCACGTATGGCCACCCACGTCATGCCCCTTTTGTTCCGTTCCGCCAACTCGCGCGCCACCAAGGGCAACGACGCCAGCCTACCATACGGCCACACCGGGTGCCGAAGCTACGCCACCGACCTACCCCGGTCAGACACCTCGGCCACTTCCAACGCTCCGCAGATGGGCTCCAATGTAACTTGCATGAAGAGTCCAGAAGGCGATCAGTCAGCCAGTCACCCGCAGCTGCGACCAGTCGATCTCCTCCAGAACTTCGCGACTACATTGAAGGGGGGGATTTTGGACCCGGACGGGTTCTCGCCGACACACGCCGCTACGCAATTGGTTCGCATACCCTCGACCACAATGTCGACCAATCCATCGAGGGATTTCTCTCTTGCGCGCGCTTGCGGCTCGCTCGCCGACACACGCCACTGCGCTATCGGTTCGCACCCCGTCGACCACAATGTCAACGACTCCGCCGATGGACTCCGACCTGACTCACATCAAAGGTCCGAAGAGATTGTGATTGACAAAGCGAGTTACGGTTACTCGACTAGAGCCGTACGTCGACTCGTCGAGGGGGGGGGCGTCGGGCCGAAGCCCCGCCCAGACTCCCTTCACACTCTCTCTCTCCTAGAGTCCCGTGGCGTCGTCCTAGAGTCCGGAGGTCCCGGCCGTCCCGTCTCGTGACCGTCTCCGTACCACCAAGACTCGACCTACAATCCCAGAGTCGGCCGCCGGGGCGGGCGTTTGCCCGCCCAGGACGCCCCGGCCGAACGCACCCGGCGTGAGGGGCACCTACAAACAAGGAACGCGTGCGAACCTGCCCGCCTCGGCGGGAGGTGGTTTGGCGCCGACAGACCGCCCTCTCCATCACCCTCGCCCAGGGATCTACAATGCTGTCTAAAGGTCCGACAGGTTCGGCACCGGGCACCGCCTCGGTATACAAAATGCGCCCACGGGTGGACCCTCACAGATCACAGAGTGGGACGCACGAGTCTTGCGCGAAACGTTCACGTGCACGCACGACACACACACACACGCACATATGGCGCTCCGCCTGGTCGTCACCGACCTGCGGGTCCGCGCGGACGGCCTCGCCGAGCAGGCCGCTGGCCGCACGCTCGTCCTCTCCCTCCTCGGCCGGGAGGACGGCCAGCCGCCCCTCGCGAGCACCGCAATCAACCCGGACAACGGCCGCAGCCTCTCTGCGCTGGTCCTCCCCCTGCCGACGGGCGCCGAGGGGAGCGAGGGCGGCCAGAAGGCCGCAACGGAGACGCTCGAGGGGCTGCGCCTTGCCCTCAGCGCCAGCGAGGAGGTCGTCTGCGTCGGCGTCGTCGACGGGCTGTGCGCGGAGCCGGGAGCCGAGGGACCCGTGGCGGCAGAGATGGAGGGTGCACTCGCGTCAAAGTTGAGCGGATACTGCCGCTGTGCGGTATCGTGCAGCGTGACGTCGCCACCGATGCCGGCGCTCGCGCTCCGCTACTCCATCCCCTCCAATCGCACGGAGTTGGTCGAGCGGACTCAACAATGGAGGCGAGTCATGACGGGAGAGGAACGTGGCGACCCTCCAGCCAAGCCGACGCGAGCGCTCGGGGACGCCTCCGCCCAGAGAGTGCGCGCCGAGCACACTAAGGAACGCGAGCAGCTCGCGGCGAATCTTCAGTTTACTCGGAGATCCGCGTATGAAAAACCAGCGCTAAAACCGCGCTGACTTCTGACTGTCGTTGCTGTCTCTCCCTTCTTGACTATCTGTGCTTGTGCGTCTTGGGTCCGGGGTTGTGTTTTTGTGTGAAAAGTATAGTCGCGATCTGCCGCCGTGCCGCCTGGCCGACTACGGTACGCAGTCTGTCTACATCGTCAGGCTGTGCAGCGCGAGAGAGTATATACGCGGACCACTCTCAAGTTGCTGGGCGGATAAGACACTGCGAGGGCTGCAAGAGTTCCTGCTGGCAGACAAGAAGCGTGTCTCGGCGGTGCCGGTGGACACCGCCCTCACCCAGCTGCGCCGCGTCTCACTCCCCAACCCCATCGAGTATGCCGAGACCAAGGCGTCCCTCGATCGGCTGGCTGACGCACGAGGCGAAGCGGCGAGCCGCGCGCAGCAGTGCCGCGGCGGAGGCGGAGGCGGCGGGCGCTGGGAGCGAGGTTGCGGCGCGAGCAAAAGCGAGAGCGCTGCGCACCGGGCGAGGCGAGCGGACGGGCTCGGGCTGGTCTCCTTCCGGGGTCCAAGTGCAAGCCGGAGCGGTGGAGTGAGCGTCGTGGCCTGGGCGCGTCGTGGGGGTCCGAAGTTTGTCCGGAGGCGGATGGTGGCGGTCGACTAGTCGATGGGGCCCGTGTGGAAGACAAGCATCTCCTTGTGCCTCTGCGTGCCCTCGAGCATCGAGCATGCTTGGGTTTCTTTACTCATATCTCATTATGTTAGCTGAGCTATATGCAATCGGAGAGCTCAAAAGGAAAGCCCGTGCACCGTGCCACTCTCGTCAGCCCTTCTTGTCCGTCGCCCATATCCACCCCGACGCCCCCCCCCCCCGGGCCGGCCTCGCCCTCCAGCCCCGGCGGCCATCCCGAGTTTTCCCGACCCGCGACCATCCACTACACCCTCGCTGAGGTGTGAACGTCGGCGTGCTTACTGCGCAGAAACCGCGCCGGGCGCCCTCCCCCCAAAGCCCAAACCGAGCAAACGAGACGCGTTCGACGTTTCTCGATTTGCCAACAGTTTGCCTTGTTGCTGGCTGGGCGGCGCATTTCTCTCCCCCGTCCTGGCCTACCTGTTGTCACGCTCGTGGACTCACCGCTCCAGCCATGCCGGCTGCGTGGTGCTCAATCTGCCGTGGCGAGGACGACCTCGAGGTGCGCTGCTCTCCATGCGGCAGACGTTTCCACAAGCAGTGCCTCGGCCTCAGCTCGCAGCAAGCGCTGCCGGTTGACTGGCGATGCGAGTCGTGCCTCGCCCTAGAGGAGCTCGAAGGGGAGGAGCGGGAGCGGCACGACGCTTTCGTGGCATCCCAGAAGGCCCTCTCGGCCGACGGACGCGCCCTCGCCAACCGGCGCAGCACCACACTACTCGCGAAAGCGGCGCTGCTCGAGCCATTTGTGCCCGCCGCGAAGCTGGAGGAGGTGCGGCGCGCGGCGCGAGGCAAGGAGAAGGGCAAGGGGCGGGGCGGGGCGGGCTCGCGCGCCTCGAATGACTCGCCCAAACAGGAAGAGCGGCTCGTCGACACCCAGCCCTCATTTGTGACGGCGACGCTGAGAGACTACCAGGCGCGCGCGCGGCGGCACCTGCCCTGAGGGGCGGGGCGGCTGGCGGGGGGGGGGGGGGGGCTAAAAGGGGGGGGGGGGGGGGCACGGGTAGCGGGCGCGAGTGCGGGGTGTGGGCCTCCCGGTGGCGTCGGCGATCCACCAACGTGGCCAGCCTCTCGACTCGCGGCCGCTGTCTGCAGGTCGAGGGAGTGAACTGGCTGGTCGAGGCGCGCGAGTCAGGGATCGGAGGCATCCTCGGCGACGAGATGGGGCTCGGCAAGACGCTGCAGACCCTGACGATGCTCGCCTTCCTCAAGAAGGCAAGCGGCGCCCTCCTCCCCCCCACCGCGCGCCCCGCCGCCTCTCTTGCCGCGCGCCCCGCCGCCTCTCTTGCCACGCGCCCCGCCGCCGCCCCTCCTCCAGGTGCGGGGCCTCACGGGCCCCGCCCTCGTCGTCGCGCCGCTCGCCGTGTATCAGAACTGGGCAAACGAGTGCAAGCGCTTCACGCCCGAGCTAACCTTCTTCAAGCTGCACGGCTCTGCGCACGAGCGGAACGCGCTTCTCGAGCGGGCGGACGTGGTGTACGCAGAGTACGACCTCTTCATCACCACGTACGAGACCTTCAAGGCGACCACTCCTAGACACCTCCTAGACACTTCCTAGACACCTCCTAGACACTTCCTAGACACTTCCTAGACACTATCTAGATACCTCCCGGCACGTACGAGGCCTTCAAGGCGAGTCTCTCTCCGGACCCCTGACCCCAGCCCTTCTCGGCCCCGGAGTAAGAGAAGGCCGCCGCACCTTCACAGCCGCACCTGCACAGCCGCGCCGCTGCTCCACAGGCTGCCGAGGGCTTCTTCACGGAGGACGTCTCTTGCTGGTCGGCTCTCATCGTCGACGAGGCGCACAACCTCAAGAACGAGGCGAGACAACTTCCTAGACACTTCCTAGACACCTCCTCGACACAACCTCAAGAACGAGGCGAGACACTTCCTAGACACTTCCTGGACACTTCTTGCCAACCTCAAGAACGAGGCAGAGCGTGGGCCGGAGGCCCTCACCCGCCGCTTGGTGCCCCCCCCCCCCCTCCCCCCCTCCCTCCCCTCCCCCCCTCCCCACCAAGGCCTCCAAGCTGCACATCGGCCTCTCTCGCGTGCGCGCAAACTTCCGGCTGCTCATCACGGGCACGCCGCTCCAAAACAACCTCCACGAGCTCTGGGCGCTGCTCCGCTTCCTCCTCCCCTCCCTCTTCACCACCTCGGACCAGTTCGACGCGGGCTTCGACACCGGCAAGCTGGTCGCAGACACGGACCTCATCGCAAAGGCGCGAGACCTTCTTCCGTCAATCACGGTGTCAAATCATAGTTGCGCTTAACTCCTCCGTCCCTCTGCAAGGCGCGCGACTTGCTCGCGCCCTTCATGCTGCGCCGGCTCAAGGCAGACGTGGTGACGCTCCTAGAAGTGTCTAGGAAGTGTCTAGGAAGTGTCTAGGAAGTGTCTAGGAAGTGTCTAGGAAGTGTCTAGGAAGTGGCTCAGGGCAAACGGGGGGACCCTGCCGTAACCCAAACACGAGCCGCTTGCAAGGCCTTTTCCCGCACCCCAATTGGCCCCCCCCCCCCCCCCCTCCCCCCCTCCTCCCCGCACCCCTGCTGCAGGTGACGCTGCCGCCCAAGCACGAGGCGGACGTGTCGTGCCCGATGAGCAGCCTGCAGGCCCGCCCGCGGGAGGCGAGCGGCGCAGGTCCGCGGCAGGTGAGGGTGACGTCGCATCGCCTTTCCGCGTGTAGGCTCGCTGGTACGCGCGGCTGCTTGACCGCGACCTCGAGTCGCAGTCTCTTCTCTCCACCTCGCAGCTGCAGATCATCATCACGCAGCTGCGCAAGGTGTGCAACCACCCGCGCATCCTGCTGCCGCGCGTGCCCGGCTCCTCCAATGGCAGCCGCGGCCGCGGCGGCGACGGAAGCGGCGGCGGCGGGCTTGCGCCTGCCGAGATTCCTTTCGTGGACTTTGGGGAGCGCGGGGGCGGCGACGAGTCGAGCGACGAGGACGAGGAGGCGAGGGAGGAGGAGCGGCTGCGGCGCGCGCGCGAGGCGCAGGCGGAGCTTCGCGCTCTCTCCGGCTTGGCGCTGGTCGCCTCCTCGGGCATCGCTCGGCGGCCTGGGCATGGGCGGGAGCGGGGCGCCTTTTCGGACCCTTTCCGAGACCCTTCCCTGTAGGCAAGCTCGCCGTCCTCGACAGCCTGCTGCACCGGCTCAAGGCGAACGGCTCTCGCGTGCTCCTCTTCTCCTCCTTCACGCAGACGCTCGACCTGCTCGAGGACTTCCTGCGCTGGCGCGCCTTCGGGCCGCACCTGCGGATGGACGGTTCGACCAACCGCATCCAGCGCGAGCTCGACATGCGCGAGTTCAACGCGCCCGGCTCGCCCCACTTCGCGTACCTGATCTCGACCCGCGCCGGCGGCGTCGGCATCAACCTCGCGACGGCGGACGCGGTCGTCCTCTTCGAGCCGGACTGGAACCCGCAGATCGACCTGCAGGCGACCGACCGCGCACTTCCCAGACCCTTCCTAGACCCTTCCTAGACCCTCCCTAGACACTTCCGGACTCGGTGACCTGCAGGCGACCGACCGCGCGCACCGGCTCGGCCAGACGAGGCCGGTCCGCGTTTTCCGCTTCGTCACAAAGGCGTCGGTCGAGGAGAAGATCCTGCTGCGCGCGCGCCAGAAGCAGGCGTTCGGCCAGGCAGTCAAACCTGCTCTAGGAGCCTTCTCGGAACCTTCTTGGAACCTTCCCTAGGCGCTCGGCCAGGCAGTCAACCGCGACAACGAGCCCGCGCGCGACGATCCCGAGGCGCAGGCGGGCGCCGAGGAGAAGGTGGCGAAGTCGGAGCTCTTCGAGATGTTGCAGAGCGCCTCTCGCGCGCTGGCGGCCGAGGACGAGGGCGAGTCCGCGCTGCAGCGGGGCGCGGGCTTCTCCGACGGCGAGGTCCGCGCCATCCTCGGCCGCGCGCTGGCGGACGCCAAGCTGCCGCCCCTCGAGGACGGAGGCCCCGACCTCCCCTCCTACGAGCTGCCCGACCCGCCCTCGCCCCCACCGGCCCCGCCCAAGCCGCAGCCGCCGCCCGCGCCGCAGCTGCCGCTTGCGCCGCCCGCTCCTCCCGCGCCGGCAGAGGCGGCGGAGGCGGCGGCGGAGGCGACAGCTGCGGGGCGGGCCCTCGAGGACGGCGGTGAGGGAGGCGGCGGAGGCGCCAGCAGCGGCGCCGGCGGTGCGACTGACGCCGGTGGTGCGAGCGCGGACGCCGCCGCCCCAAATGGGGGCGACGGCGGCGACGGCGGTGGCGGCGAGGGAGGCGACGACCACGAGGAGAATCTGCCGGCGGCGTTGCGTCGGCCGAAGCGGCGGCGCGAGCAGGCGGGGCGGTACGAGCCGACTTTGCCGCGCGGGCAGCGTCGGAAGCAGCCGCTGCGCCACGAGGACACGTGTTTCCACTGCGCCGACGGCGGCGAGCTGCTCGAGTGCAGCCTGTGCCCGCGCGTGTACCACCTCGAGTGCCTGAGCCTGACCAAGCTGCCCAAGGGGCAGTGGACTTGCCCGTGGCACTCGTGCCTCGAGTGCGGCCGCACCGTCTCCACCGCCGGAGGCATGCTCTTCCGCTGCACCGACTGCCCCACCGCGTACTGCTTCGACTGCTGGCCGCAGGGACTCGCCCGCGTCGACCCCACGCCGCAGCTGCTCGAGCCGATGATCTCGCGCGGCTTCGACCCGTCCAAGAACGCCACTCTCTTCGTGTGCGGCGACTGCGCCGACGAGAAGGAGACGGCCAAGCGCAGGCTCGAGGAGGAGGAGCGCCGGCGCGCCGAGGCGCGGCCCGGCGGGGAGAGCGAGGGTCAGGCCCGGGACATGTCCGGGACGCGTCCGCGGCACGTGCCCGGTAGGCGCGGCTCGAGAAGGAGCGGCAGCGGCGCGAGGCGGTCGAGAAGGCGCGCACGCGCGACGAGGAGCGCGAGCGGAAGCGCGCCGACGAGGCGCAGCGCGCGGCGGCGCGCGAGCGGAAGCGGATCGAGAAGGAGCGCGCGATGCAGGGGACGGCGATGGTGCGGCGCGTGCAGACGCTCGGGCGCGAGCAGACGAGCGAGCGGCGCTCGTTGGGGGAGGCGCATCTCGCCGAGGTGGCGCAGCTCGAGGCGACGGTCGGCAAGATGCGCGAGGAGCTCGCCGCCAAGCAGCACGCCGACGCGCGCGCGCTGCTCGCGAAGCAGCACCAGGCGCTCGGCATGCCCCTTCCTCGAGCTCGAGATCACCCGAGATCACCCGAGATCGCCAGAGATAGGCGCTCGACCGGCTCTTCCTCGAGCTCAGAGACGGATGGAAGCCGATTGGCGCCGCTGCACCGGCCGCTGCGTCCGCCACCGCCGCCGCGCCCGCCGCCGCGCCCGCCGCCGCGCCCGCCGCCGCCGGTGCCCCCCCGGCGGCCGGGTCATCCTCCGACTTCCTCGCGGCGGCGGGCGGCGAGAGCGCGCCGGCCGCGGCTCCGGCGGCGGCGAGCCAGCCGCCCGCAGACCCGCACCGGGAGGCTGCCCTCGCCCAGCTGCTGGAGGCGATCGGCGTGGCAAAGGCGGCGGCCGAGGCTGGCATCGCCGCAGTTGAGCGACGCGCCACGGCCGCCGCCAACCGCCCGGCGCCGCCCGCCGCGCCGCCCGCCGCCACGCCGCCCGCTCCCCCACCCACCGCCGCGTCGGCAGCGCCGTACTCTGCTTGGGCGCCCAGCCAGGCCCAAGTCCAGGTGCCGTGGCCGCCGATGCCGATGCCGGTGGCACCGGGGTTGGGGTCCTCCGCAGGGAGCGTGCCGATGCCAGACGCGAGCGTGATTGCCCAGCAGATGCAGCACGGGCAGCAAGGGGCGCAGCAGGCGCTGCCGGTCTCGCGACTCCCCTTTGACCCACCCCTCCCCCTTTCTAACCCCCGCCGGCCCCCACCCTCCAGATGATTGCAGCGCAGATGCAGGGTGTGCCGCGGCCGCAGGGCGGACAGGGTCCGCCCACGGAGCAGCAGTCGGCACAGCTGGCGGAGAGCGCGCAGCAGCTGGCGGAGAGCGCGCAGCAGCTGGCGCGGCAGCAGCAGCTGGCGCGGCAGCAGCAGCAGGCGCGGCAGCAGCAGCAGGCGCAGCAGCAGGCGCAGCAGCTTGCGCAGCAGCAGGCGCAGCATCAGGCGGTGAAGGTTTGCGCCAACTGCAAAGGCACCCTCGTGCAGCTCAACGTCTGCGGCCGCTGCCAAGTGACGGCCTATTGCGGCGTGGCTTGCCAGCACGCCCACTGGCCCACGCACGCGCGCGAGTGCATCCCGGTGGCGCAAAAGCAGTGACACACAAAGAGTGCATGCACACATGAATATGTGAGCGCGCTCGAGAGGGGGGGCGTCGCGTGGTCGTGCGTGCAGTGGTTCGTGTAGCGTATCTCGGTTCTTACGTCTCGCTCGCGGTACTTTGCTCTATGGGTATGGCCAAAATAGACACACAAACGCTCGTCGTCCGCTGTCCCTCGTTGCCGAGCTAGTGGCTCAGCTTCCCAGCTACTCTTAGAGCTGGCTGACTTTCAGGACCACCTTGCCCGCATTTGCGTTGCTCTCGAGGTAGTCGTGCGCGGCTTGGGCCGAGGCGAGGCCGTCGAACTCCTTGTCGATGACGTGACGGAAGCGCGAGCCGATGTGCGGCAGCACCTGCGCAGCGAAGGCGTCGACGAGCTCCTTCTTGAAGGGCCTGCTGCGCGTGCGGAGCGTGGTGGCGAGAAGCTGGACGCGCTTCTTCATCAGGGTCGCCAAGAAGCCCTTGGCGAGCCCCTCGGGCATCTCTGGGCCCGAGAGGAGGCTGTAGAGCACCCACCTAGCAGGAGAGAGAGAGAGTCGGGGAGCGGGAGCGGTTCAGAGAAGAGAGTCCAGAGACCAACCTCCCGTCGACGCCGAGGGCCTCGACGTTCTGCTCCGCGTACGCGCCGGCGACGCAGTCGAGCACCGCGTCCACCTTGCCGCCCGGCGCTGCCGCACGGACCGCCTCTATCCACGGCCCGTCGTGCCGCAGAGCGCCGCCGCTCGCGCCGAGCGACTGCGCGAGCTCGAGCTTCGCCGCGGATCCCACAGTCACAAGCACGCGCGCGCCCGCCGCCCGCGCAAGCTGGACCGAGGCGACACCGACGCCCGACGCGGCCGCGTGGATGAGGACGGTCTCTCCAGGCGACACGTTTGCGAGCCGCAGGTTGAGCGACGCCGTCAGCCAGGCCTCCGGCACCGAGGCGGCCTCGGCCCACGACATCGATCGCGGCTTGCGCATGACGGTGGTCGCGTCGACCGCGACGTACTCGGCGTAGCTTCCGCCCGGCACCAGCGCGAGCACCTCGTCACCGACCTCAAAGGCCGCTGAGCTGGTCGCCACGACTATGCCCGCCGCCTCGAGACCGAGAACCTCTGTCACACCCTTCGGGACGGGACTCTTGCCACGCCGCTGCATCACATCCAACCGGTTGATTGCGGTCGCTCTGACCTGGATGAGCACCTCGCCTGCCGCCGGCTGCGGCGTCGGCACGGTGACGACGGTGCACGCGGCGTCTCTGGCGACGATGGCGGACATCGTCCCGGGCAGGTCGAAGGCGAGCCGCGGCCGGCGCGTCAAGGCGTACAAGCATGCCGCCACGGCGGCGCCGGCAGCGGCGATGGCGGCAGTGCGGAGCATATGTCGGTGTTGGAGGCAGCGGCGTCAAGCAACTGTTGCTCCTCCTGGCCAGGAGCCTAGCTTAGAGCCTTAGACAGCGTGGCTGGCTAGGGAGCTTAGTGTTGGGGGGCGCGCGAACGAGCTCGGTACCCGGGTACCTATGTACAGCCAGGCTGCAGGCAACAGTCTACAGCGGCGCCGCGTGTTTCTTCTACTGTGCCGAAAGTGTTTAAAGGTTGGAGAGCAGCTCCTGACCACGGCGCCACAGGCGCCTGTTGATAGGTCCAGGTGATAGCCCTGGATGGGCAATGCATACGCCTAGTTGTGCTTCAGATCACCCGACCGCGTCCCGGTGCTCTGTGGGTGGTCGGATTTGTGACGCCGCCGCACCGCGCCGCGGAATTCGCGCCGCGGCCGGGGGCCCTCCGGAGGCCGAGGATGGCCGTGTCGGACCGGGACGAGCTCTGGCCTCTGGGAGAGGTAAAGTGTCAGTGGTATATATTGTAGAGACCAACCATGTGCACAATATCTCTCAGTCTAGCTAAGCCAGGGGAGGCGATGCCGGGGCCGTACAGCAAGCTTGATGGTTCACGCCGGCGTGCGTCCCGGAGCGGTGCCGGACGGGCGGTCCGTGGGACCTAGCGCAGCGTGGGACAAAATCGGGGGACAACGCCGACGGCGCCCTGATTCGACTTTTAACTTCAAACAAAGCCTACCGCACGCGCCGCGACGCGGCGCGTGCGGTAGGCACTCGGGATTTTGCCAGATCGGCGTGTTCATGCCGGGATCGTGTCGTCCCCGACAACCTGCCCAGACTTTAGTCCTCGACAGTACTAGTGGGGGACCTGCAGCGGTACCCGCCTCTTTGTTCGGGCACAGTGAGAGACGCAGGATCTGCACGCCAAAGTGGGGCCACTCCGCATTTGCATTTTGGTTTTGGAGATCATCCATCGCAAGCATTGCTAAAAATCTCTCTCTCGCAAGCACTCATCAGTCAGTCACGTCAGTCAAAGCCGCGCCGAGCCGGTCTCGGCGGGAGACCTCGGAGCCGCACGCGATGCGGGCGTGCGCGATGGCTCCGTTGGCTCAGTGCCGAAGGCAGATAGATTTAGGGTGTGAGCTGAGTTGTCGGAGTTCGAGATCGCAGTCGACTTGGAGACGTTCGGCCCGTTGACGAACTCACGGAATGTGAGCGACTTGGTGCACGCTTGGGTCGAGCATCCATGGCTCGCACCTCATCCTCGGCCCAGGGACCAGCTGTTGGCGTCGCCGTTTTGATCGAGCTGCATCCACTGCATGGTTTCCACGTAGATCGTAGTCAAGCGTAAACGCGCAGGAGTTGGTGACTGGATGACTTGCTGATGAGAGCGCCTTCCAGGCGGGTAGTCGTGCCCATACATAACCTAAGGTGATACGGCGGCGTCAGTGTCGACAGTGTGCGGAGCGTGAAGGGGACCGGATTGCGCGGAAAATTTCTTTTTCTGCTGTGAAAATTCCAGCGTGAAGAGAGGGGAAAACCCGACGGGAGGGCCCAGACCTACCCTACCTACCCCGTGGGTGAGGGCCAAAAAGCAAAAAAATAACGGCGGGCTCGCATCGGTCGGCCCTCTGGTCGCAACAGGGTTGATGTACAATCTGGTTCCTGCTCGTCTGGTGCTGTTACTTGCTGGTGGCAGCCTAGGCCTCAGCAGCAGCCGGCTCACAGCGGCATCTTCCGCTCCATTGCTGTGCGGTCTCCAGTGTTGGCAACGGACGCCTCCCGCTCTCGGTCGCCCTCCTGTTCTCGCGCTGGAGGCCACCGCTCGTGCTGGAGGCGGCTGCTGCGCCTTCCGTCGCTGGCAAGGGCCGCCTCCCGAGCGGCCACCGAGAGCGGGGGGCGTCCGTTGCTGCGCCACTGCGCCCAGCCTGACGGAAGAAGCTCCGGAGGAGGCTTCCCTCGCGGCGAGAGCCGCCGCGCGGGCGGCCGAGAACGCGGAGATCCTCGCCATCGCCGTGCCTGCGCTGCTAAATACGCTCATGGACCCATTCCTTGGCGTCGTTGACACGCTCTTCGTCGGCCGAACGTGCTCCTCGGTAGCGCTGGGCGCGGTGGCGGCGAGCAGCGAGATTTTCACGCTCTGCATCGCCGCCTCGCTCGCGCTGCGGGAGAGCGCCTCGTCCACTCTCGTCAGGCTCTTCGCGCAGGGGCGTCGGCCGGCGGCCGTGGCGTTCGCGCGGCGGACGCTGCAGCTCGCAGTTCTCGTCGGCGCCTTCCTCACTCTGCTACTGGCGGGGCCTGCGGCGCCGTGGTGCGTCGGGCTGATGGGCGCTCCGGTGGGCTCGCCGCTGCACCCGGATGCCCTCGCGTACGCTCGCATGCGCGCGCTCGCCCTCCCGGCGGCGCTCGCCCTGTCTGCGAGCGAGGGCATCTTCCGGGGAATGGGCGACACGAGCGCGCCTCTGCGGGCGGGGCTGGTCGCCTCGCTCGCAAACCTGCTGCTCGACCCAGGACTGATGATTTGGCCGGCGCGACTCGGCGTCACCGGCGCCGCCACCGCCACGGGCGCATCCCAGGTCGTCGCCTGCTGCCTGCTGCTCCGCTCCCTCCACCGCCAGCTCTTCTCGCGCCCTCCCTCCGCCGCCGCCTCCGACCCCGCCTCCGCCGTTCCCGCCGCGGCCGCCGCTGCCGCCGCCTCTGCACTAGCGCCGGCCGCGGGGAGCCCTGGCGGCGAGGAGGCGGCGGAGGAGGCGGCGGAGGAGGAGGCGGCGGCGCGGCGCCGGCTGGCGGGCACGAGCGCGGCGACTCTGACCCGCACCAGCGCCGTCCTTGGCTGCTGGGTTTATATCGCGTCGACGGTCGCACGGCGGCTCGGGCCGTCCGCCATCGCCGCGCACGGGGTGGCGCTCAAGGCGCCTTCCTAGACACCTCCTGGACACCTCCTGGGCACTGTCTGGACACTTTCTGGACACTTTCTGGACACCTCCTGGACACCTCCTCACGGCTCGTGGTGGCGCTCAAGGCGCCTCTCCCTCGCCGCCTCGCGGGACACGCGACACGTCCATGACGCGTCCGTGCCGAGAGCCGCCGCAGGCGTGGCTCCTCCTCGTCCTCGCGGCTGAGGCGCCCGCCGTCGCCGGGCAGGTCCTCTGCTCGCGCCGCATCTCGCGCGGCGACTTGCACGGCGCACGCGCGCTGCTGCTGCGGCTGCTGCGCCGTGCCGGCGTACTCGGCGGCGCGACCGCGCTCCTGCTGCTCTCGCTGGCCGGCCCTGCGTCCTCTTTCCTCATCCCGTCCGACCCGGCCACGCGAGAGAGCGCGCGCCGCCTCTTCGGCTGGGCCGCGCTCTGCACGCCGCTCGTCGCACCGAACGCGCTCTGCGAGGCCGTCCTGCTCGGGGCCGGGCTGTCGTACAAGTACCTCGCGCTCGCGACGCTCTCCACCGCGATCGGTGGCGCCTTCTCACCCGTCGCTCCCACCTTTTACCACGCCTCCTCACCCCAGCCCTCTCCTGTGCACGTAGCCATCGGCTGGCTGACCGGGATCGCCCTCTCGCTCCGCCCGGACGTGTCCTCCGTCTGGATCTGCATCCTCCTTTTCTTCCTGGTCCGCCTGGCGACGTCCGCCGGCCGCATCTTCAGCGGGCGAGGGGGCTTCGGGGAGTGGGAGTGGCGTGCTCACGGTGACGTGAGGGCGTGAACTTGCTGCGCTCCGTGCCAGAGCGCAGCCGAGCGCTGCAATCTCCCCTTCGGCGTTCGGGCAGCCGGCCCGCGGTATGTCTATGTGCGTGGTACGTTGCGGGAAGTGTTGCGGGCGCCCGCGCGGTACGGTCGTGACTCTTTGATTCTCGGTACGAACTACGCGCTCTCCATTATACCCACGCGCCACGCGGTCATACGTTATCAGGGCGGACGGGGAGGTGTGACTCGCGCGCGCGACCCTTCGATTGTATCATATATCTCAACGCTACGCTCCAGCTGCGCGGGCGCGCGCGCACACCCACAACACGGCCTACGCCCCTACGCCGCCACAATAAACCCAAAAAAGCGCGCGAGTCAGAAGTCGTCAGATATAAACTACGAACGAGGCGCGCGTCTGGCAAGGACACACGTCGTGCTCAATCCCTCACTGTTCGCCACGCAGGAGTCCTCTCGCTCACAGGAAATAGTCGCCTTCGGTGGCGGCGGCGGCGGCGCGCCCCACCGCCCCCTCCTTGCGGCGGCGCAGCACGTTGATCTTCGGCTCGGTGAGCAGGAAAGGCGGCCGCATCGCCACGCGCGTGAAGCCTCTCTCGACGTGTGCGAGCTCGAAGCCTACTCCAAGGCGAGCAAGTGAGAGGGGCGGCAGGGCCGGGAGAGGCGCGGCCGTGGGGCGGGGGCCTGGCAGGTCGCGCGTGGCGTCGTCGTTGGCGCCAGTGAGCAGGTGCGAGAAGCGGGTGAGCTGCGCCGGGGCGAGCCCCTCGGCCTTCGAGTACTGCCACGGAGGAGGCAGCTCGAGGAAGCGCGAGACGCCGGAGATGGCCGCCTCGACACCGACGTGCACGCGAGGCCCGCGCGTCCCGCGGGGAGGCGACGACGCGTGGAGAGCGAGCAGGGCGTGGGCGCCGGGGTAGTTGAGCCGCGCCGCAGCGGTGAAGCAGCACGCGAGCGCAAGGCTGCCCGCGAGGCTCGCGGCGATGGCGGCGCGGCCGAGCACGGCGGCGGTGCGGCGGCCAGCCGTCTTTGCGTTCCGCGGCGGGAGGCGCGCGACGAGGTGCGCGAGGGCGGCGGCGGCGCCCGCGTTGAGGAGCGGCGCCGCGTAGAGGATGAAGCGGAGCTCCTTGTGCGGCAGCAGAGAGCAGGGATCCGAACAGTGGCAGTGAAGTCACACAGGTGATGACTATCAGAATCGCCTTGTGCGGCAGCAGCGAGTAGAGCGCGACGAAGCACAGAGCGACGCCGACGTACTCGCGCGCGCGCGGCACGAGCGGCAGGGAGGCGAGCGCGAGCGGGTAGGCGAGCGAGAGTGCGCGCGGCAGCGCCGAGTAGAAGTACCACCCGGCGGGCGATGTGCCGTAGTTCGCGCTCATGTTGCCGACCGTGTTTGCAAGCAGCACCTCCCCCTCCGGCCAGAGCGGGCGGCGCCACAGGAGCGAGTCGAGCAGCAGAGTGGGCAGCAGCGCGGCGGCGCCCGAGCCGATGCCTGTGGCGGCGATGGTGGCGAGCGGCAGCTGCCTCCGCGCGGCGACGAGGAGGGTGAGCGGCGCGAGCAGCAGCAGCAAGTCGAAGCGGAAGATGACGGTGCCGACCTGAGCAGGCGGCGCGGCGTGTGGAGAGGAGGCGCCCTTGGAGGCTCGAGGCCTTGGCGGCTCGAGGCCTTGGCGGCTCGGGAGGGGCTCGGCGGGGGGAGGGGCTCTGCGGACCGTCAGGGTGGAGAGTGCGGCCTGGTGCCGCCCCTCGAGCCACGCCGCGGTGGCGAGCGACGAGGCGAGGACGCCAAACGTGTTTGGCAGCGTGCGCGAGCCGTAAAAGAGAGGGTGGAACTGCACCAGCGACAGCGTGAGGAAGGCGAGCCCGCTCTGCCGACCGAAGCGGCGCGCCACAGCCCGGTGTACTCGCGCCGTCGCGGCGGCGGATGCGAGCCCGAGAGTGACGCGGACGGCGACCTGCGCGTACAGCTTCGGCGCTTCGGCGAGCTGCAGCGCGAGCACGGCCGGCGCAGAGGCGGCGGCGAGCAGGAGCGCGCCGACGAATGTGCGCGGCACGACGCCTGTGTGGCCCGCGGGTGGCGTGGGAGGGGAGGCGTCTCGGAAGTGTCTCGGAAGTGTCTAGGCACGACGCCTGCGTGGCCCGGGGGTGGGACGGGAAGTGTCTCGGAGGTGTCTAGGAAGTCACCCGGGAAGGCGTGGTGGTCGTACTGGGCGATGTCGGTGCGGTGGAAGAGGAGGTCGTGGACAGCCTGCGGGAGGGGAGAGGAAGGGGGAGAGGGAGGGGGAGAGGGAGGGGGAGAGGGAGGGGGAGAGGGAGGGGGAGAGGGAGGGGGAGAGGGAGAAGAGAGGTGTGGGCGGGCAGCAGCGTGCCACTGCCGGGAGACGCTCGGCGAGACAGCGTCAGAGGGGTGAGGTGTCCGCACTAGGCAAGGCCCAGGCTCGGAACATTGTGAGGTTTGCGAGTCGTCAGCCGCTGCTGGTTGCCGCCTCCCGCTCTCGGGCCTGAGCCGCAAGGGCTGCAGTCCGATCTGGGGCGATCTGGGGCGGTGTGGGGCAATCTGGGTCGGTGTGGGTCGGTGTGGGTCGGTGTGGGGAGCCTGGAGGTTGAAGCTCTCCTCGACCTTTGTGAAGGGGCAAGCAAGCACGTGCGCCGCGACGAGCAGCACCAGCGCAACCTTGGCGGGGGCGGCGGGCGGGCAGGGCTCTCGAACCCCTCCCCCCCTCCCCCGTTGCGGTTGGATCCCCCCCCCCCCCCCCCCCCCCCGTTCTTTCACCCTCGCCGCGCCTCCGCCGCGGTGAGGCCGCGAAGCGCGCCCGAGGCTGCCTCAACGCAGCCTGAGAGAAGCGCCACCACGCCTCCCCTGCCGCCTCGCCCGCCGCTCGCCCGATCCGGTGGGGTGGCGCGGCGGGGTCTGGGCGTGGGCTGCGAGTCAGAGTCCGAGTCGTCCGAATCGACCTGTGGGGGGGAGGGGGGCGGCTGTTGGCGGCGGTGGAGGCGGTGGCAGAGGCGATGGCATTGGCGGCGGCGGCGGCGGCGGCAGCCGGAGAAAGGCGGGGAGAGGAAGTCGAGTGGAGGGGCATGCGCACGTGGTCGAAGTCGGGCCGCTCGTTTGGGTTCTTGGGGACACCGGGCGCCTGCGGGAGGGCGAGGTAGGCGAGGGTGCGGCGTGAGAGGTGCTAGGAGGCAGTGGCTGCAGGCGGGAGACGGGGTGGTGACGAGTGGCTGCAGTCGTGGCGCTGCTTGCGGGCCTGGAGCGATCGCCACGGCTGGTTGCGCCGCTTGGCCAGCTCGACGCGCACGTGGTCGTGCCGCAAGTGGTGCACGCACCGGGAGGCGTCAACCTCTGCAAAGAGCTGCAGCTGCAGCCGGTACGATCTCGCCGCCGAGCGTCCGCCCGCAAACTCCGCGACCCGTTCGGCTCGAAATTCGACGGCGCGATCGGTGATGTCGATACTGACGTCGTCCGTGCCCTTGAGGCACGGCACAAAGATGGTGAGGTAGACGGTTCCGCCACGCTGCCCCCACTTAAAGATGGGACACCAGGGTTTGTCTGCGTCCACCGCCGCCGCCGGCGAACTGGTGTTGGTGCTGATCTTCTTCGGAGCGACGGATCCCTCGGGGTTCGTGGGCGCGCGTGACCAGTAGAGGTGGCTCGCTGCGCTCATCGGGACAGTGCAGCGGGGGCGTGGAGCTGTGTGCGGTTCGAGGCTGCGTTGTGCACTCACTCAGAAAAGAAACTCGACTCCGACTGTTTGAACCGGTCGCGCCACCGCGGCTGCGGGGTTGATAGAGCAGGCCGGTACCTCCACTTTTGGGTGGCGGTCGCGCGCTGCCGACGGCGCTCGCCGGCGCTACGGCGCTCGCGGCGCGCTCGTGGCGTTCAGGGCGGCTCGCACACACGCACACACACACACACACGCACGCACACACACACACACACACACACACACACACACACACACACACACACACACACACACACACACACACACACACACACACACACACACACACACACACACACACACACACACACACACACACACATGCATGCATGCATGCATGCATGCATGCATGCACAGTCCACAGACACACAGCCCCTTCCCCTCCCCCCTCAAGACCTTCCCAAGGGCGAGGACACGCGCAGGCCGCACCTCTAGTGAGGCCCGCATAGTATGTGGGAGACTCATGCCGCCGCCCCTGCCACCCCTGTGTCAGTGTGCCCGTGGTAGTGAGAGACTGCCGGTGAGAAGTCGGAGGAAGGTCGCTAGACTGAGATGAGACCGCCAGTGGAGTTGGGATTCCACCGTGCACCGCGCTGCGAGCCTGTCGTGTCCCTTGTCAGGAGCAGGAGAGCCCACCTGTCCCGCGGGATCTGCGAGAACGAGCGAAAGCTCGGCTCCCGCATCGCCGTCCCGCGCTCATGGTTAAGTCCCAGTCCCACTCGTCCATGAAGACGCGGCGCGTGGGCAGCGCCCCTGCAGCGCGCACCCCAGCTTGACGACGACGCGGCACCAGTTGGACGAGGTGGTGCACACGATGTAGTCTGCTGCGGCGGAGACGAGCAGGTTGACGATCGACTGCGACGAGACGTTGAGCGCGGCGAGCTGCCTGGTCGCCTCGCTCGGGCCAGCCTCCGCCTCGCCGGGCGGCTGCGCCTGCGGCCGCGGGGACTCCCCAGGCCACCGCAGGCTGCTCTGTGGCTTGCTGTGCGCCGCGAGGTCCGCCGCAGCCTTCCCCGCGTCAAAGGCGGGCAGGTTTGCCTTGAGGGCCTGGCCGAACCGTTTGCCCGCCGAAAACCTCCCAGTCCGCAGTCGTCGCCCAGCGCCTCGGGGATCAGGCTGATCGCCTCGGGGTCCTCGGACGACAGCGCGAGGCGAGAGACGCCAAACCGCCTCCGCAGCGATTCGGCCGCCTTCGCGTAGTCCCGTGCGCTGCGGCAGGTCGCCTCCCTCCAGCACTTGTCGCCCCACCGCACGTGCATGCTGACGTACGGGTGGAGCTCTTCCCAGCTCCGGTAGCGCCGCCTCCTCGCCGGCTTGTTGCCCGTCCGGCCGCGCCCCCGCACCCACTCGGCGTCGAGCATGGCCAGCGTCGAGGGCGCTGGCTGTAGCGCGAAAAGGGCGAGCTGCGACTGCCACCACAGCAGGCTGCGGCGGCCCTTGAAGACGGCGGGCACAGGCGCCTCCCAGACCGCCTTCCACCGTCGCCGACCCATGCGCTGCCGCGTCACGTTCTGAGGGAAGCCCCAGCCGACGGTGCCGACGACCCGCGTGGCCGAGCACGCGGTGACGGAGTCGCAGGTGTCGAGGTCCTGGAAGAAGCAGCGTTCTGAGGAGACGGCGCAGCCTCGCCGCGCCAGGTAGGGCACGCCCTTCTCCCCGACCTCAGACAGGACGACGCGGCTATCGCGCTGCAGAGCCGCCCACTCGAGAGCCTGCAGCAGCGCGTGCCACCGACTACCGAGCCCAGTGCCGCTCTTGTGCGGGTCCGCCGGGTATGTGACCGCGGTCGCTGCCCTGCGGCGTCGCGCGAGCCAAAGCCCTGCAGCCTCGCGATGAGCGCGTGGGGCAGACAGCGTCGATCCAGAGCGTCGGAGTAGGCAGCGACATGCCAAATGTTCGCCAGCCGCCGTACACGCTGTCATGGAGCAGCTGGAGCAGAATTGCATCGCGACGAGCGTGAGCGGCTCGTTTTTGCCATTGTGGAGCGCCGTCTGCGGCGCGCGGCGCCGCGTCGGGGAGGCGAGCGGGTGGAAGACACACTGCGTCTCCGAGCGGCAGGTAAACGACACGAGCGACGCGAAGTGGGACAAGCTCGCCCTCACGATGCGGCTCTTGGAGAAAGACTGCGACGCGGTGCTCTGGCTCGACGCAGACGTCGTGGCACAGCGGCGGTGCGTCGCTCTGCCTGTCGTCACCGCACCAATTCGCTTCTCCGTCGACCCGCACGGCACCAACACCGGCCTCTTCCTCGCCCGCCGCGACGCCATTCCCGTCTTTGCGGACGTGCTTCGAAGGCGCCACTCCTTTGCGACCTCCGGGACGCCCACGCAAAGCGCGCTCAAAGCCCACTACCGGGAGCGGGGCGGCACGCCAAGTCTCTTTCCGGCGTCCTTTGTCTCGTACGGACTCGGTCCGAACGCGTCGACGGCCCCGTTCTGGCACGTCACCGGGAACCGGCACGTCAAGCGAAAGCGGTTCCGCCTCCTCGCCCGCGCCCACGACGGTCGCGACTTGCGTGATCCGTCTCTCGTTAGGAGTCGGGAGGGGTCGGGAAAAAAAAGTGAGGTGTTATGTCTCCCCCCTCCGCGTCGCGGAGGCGCACGGAGGGCGTCGCCACGGACTCAGATTTGTTTTATACCCATTCTCAATTCCACCAATCGCCCACTATCCTCGTCTTTCAATCGCTGCTCTCGACACTCTCTTCACTATCTTCGCCACTCTCTTCGTCACTCTCTTCGTCCCGTTCGTCACTCCCGCTTCTCCGGACTCCGCGCTTGGGGCTTGCGCTTGGCATCACACTCGCCCCCCCTACTCCGCCGCTGAACGCTCCCCCCCCAGCTTCGTTTCAATCTTCTTGTCGAGCGTGGCGAGCTTCTTCTTCAACTCGGCAGCGGAATCTACGATGGTGCGGGCCACAATCGAGCCCGACACGCCTTCGACGTCGCACGGGGGGGCGGAAGAGGAGGCAGGACCTGCCGACAGAAGCTTTTGTCCCGTGCGACGAGGCGGTGGCGATGCTCAAGCGAGGTGACCGCTCGATCCTCGCGCCGCTCTCGCACGGCTGGCTCACAGCGCTTCACCCAGACCCTCATGGCACAACTCTTGCCGCCGTCCGCCGCTACCTCGGACGCGGCGATGTTCAAGAGCGTCCTGGATGAGGGAATAATGGGGAACTTCTACGCCAGCGTCACAGGCACCTCCGTCATTCAGCAGTACGAGGGCGATGGAGGCCGCGGCTGGTGCATCTTTGAGCAGGGGACTGCGATGACGGTGCTGGCGCACCTGACAGCCGCGGAAGGGGCAGGCGGAGGAGGAGGGCAAGGCGCTGCCGAAGCGCTTCCGCCGCGCGCAGGCGAGCCGCGCTAGGGTGTATGACATCGGGGGGGCGGCGCCGGTGGCCCGCGCGAGTGCTCCCTGCCGCCAAGGGAGGTGCTCGACGAGGCGTGCCGCGCGATCGAGAAAGAAGGCGCGCTTCATGGGCGGGTAAAGCAGACCAGGAGATGTGATTGATTGATGGATTGATGAATGACGAGAGAGAGAGAGTCGGTCGTCCGCCTCCGGAGGCGAGAGGGGGAGCGAGATTTGTTTTTTGCAGGTGTGCAACTGGTGCCAACTTTTCTATGCGACCTTGGAGCACTTGACCGCTCGCCTTTATCGATGAGCCAATTTTGGGCCGAAGGCGGGGAAAGAGAGCACAATCGATCGCCAAGGACGCGCGTTTGCGACAGCCGCAACATGGCTGACTTCCTCTGCGCCCACGCCGCACGGCGAGTGCCGCCGATCCACAAGCAGCCAATCCAGCAGAAGGGCAGCGCGGTCCGTTCTTACCTCCTCCAGCAGCTCCGCGGCACATTTGCATTCGCAGCCCCGCACGGGGTCCGCATCGCATTTGGGAAGCAGACGACGTGCCGCAGCTTCAACCACGAGTTCGAGTGCCGGTATAAAATCTCGCTCGAAGTGCAAATCATCCTGTCCAAGCCCGGCTTCGACAAGCTCTTCGTGCACCGCCGAGAACTGGTGAGCGGCCCACATGCTCGCACAGCCCCTCCACATGTCATGTACATGTGCATGCACATGTGCATGTGCATGTGCATGTGCATGTGCATGTCCATGTCCATGTCCATGTCCATATGCACGTAGCCCCCAGGGCCTCCGCGCCTCCGCTTTCAGTTGAGCACGATCATCGACCAGACCGTCCACTCCGTGCTCAAGAAATTGCTGCGCGACGGATGCAAGCTGCAGCTCAAAATCAACCACACGGTGATGCAGCCCAACTGCAGCGGCGCCACGGCCGAGGTCGAGCCGCACATCCCCGTCGGCGGCGGCGCAACGGCGGCGGATGACGACAGCATGAAGCAGCTCGTGCCTGCGCCTCCGCTACCAATGGGGGAGTGCTTCGTCTGCGCCGACCCGCTGGTCTGCCCGCTAACCTCGTCGACGTTCTGCATCGAAGACGAGGCCATGGTGGTGTGCAGTGCATGCTCCGCCCTCGCCGAGTTGGATCGCATCCCACCGAACGATGCCGCGCCGACCCGTCCTGCGGCCGTGGCCCGCGAGCCGTCCAACGTAGTTACATGAGGCAGTCGTCGCCTGTAGCACCATAGCACGGCGGCCCGGCGGCCCGGGCGCTGGAAAGCGGTGCGGGGCGGGCGCTCATTTAGTTCCTTCTCTGAGTGATTGGATGGTGCTGGTTCGTTTGCACGACGAGGGGGAATCCTACAACTCCCACTCACGTAGCTCCGTGATCCCCGACCGTCTTTCTTCAATTAATTCTTTGACAGCAGGAAGTCAATTTCATCGCATCTCTCGAAGTGAAAACGCACACCCCCCCTACGTATATAGAACTTGAGGCCTGGGCCGCCGGAGCCTGCGAGTCGGCCAGTCGCACGTGTTTGGGCTCTACGCATCTGTTCTGGACCTCTCTCCCATCGCCTGCCCTGCGTCGCCTGGCAATGGGTTAGTGCCTAGTGGGTTCACTCTTACATGGCACTTGTCTCCAACCAAAGCATACACTTTGTCGTCAGTCACAGCTCGCCGCTTGGCTCGCGTGCGCCACTAGCGCGTCGTACAGCGCTTGGTCGGGCGCGTGGGCGAGCGTCAGCTCCCGCCACAGCGCCGGGTAGACCAAAGGGATCTGGCCCTCCATCAGCTTGGAGATGCTGGAGAGCCGCTTGTCGATCCATCCGGCGCGGTGGATGTTGCCCTGGCAGCGGCGCAGGCCGCGGTGAGAAGAGAGTGGTGCGCAGGGAGGAGAGAGGCTGGGGCGGTGGGGAGAGAGGCGGCGGTGAGGGACCTCGGCGCTGAACTTCGTCAGGTTCGTCCAGTCCACGCCATCGAGGCAGCAGGGCACGGCGCCGTGGCGGCGCGCGTTTCGCAGGACCAGCGGGCCGCCACTGTGGTGGAGGACGATCACCTCGAACGACTCGAGCATCAGCCGCGTCGCAAACTCAACCATGCAGGTCCAGTTCTGTGGCGCGGCGTCGATGTCGCCGCACGGGTTGTTGCCCTTTGCACCAGCCAGCACCTTTCGCAGATAGTAGTTGGGCCCGTAGTACTTGCGGTATCCGAGTTCCTCGAATGCGCCATACGTGTGGGGGTGGTGCCGCGCCATGAAGGCGTCGAACGGCTCCAGGTGAGCGTGATTGGCAAAGCAGCGCTGGATAAAGGTCCAGTTCATTGCGCTCCAGTGGGGCGACGGCGCATCGCCGGTGAGGTCAATGTCGCCCTCGTACTCGTGCGCGTACGCCCAGCACTGCTCTGGCACGCCTCCTTCGAAGAGGTACGAGGAGAGCAGCCGGTCGAGGGGCGGCCGCAGAGACGTGATGAGAGCGCTGTCGGGCGGCGGCGGCGACTGGGCGGCAGAGCCGGCGGACCGTGTGCGGCGGGCCACGTGCGCTGCGGACTGGGTCCAGTTGTAGGCACCCCACTCGGTCTCCTTGAAGCTGTCGAATTGACCGTTTCCATCGCAGGCTGCGCGTATGTTTTCCCGGACGGATGTGCCCCCCGCTTTTCGCATGTGCAGGTGGTGGATCGCGATGTGCTTGCGCGGCGAGCAGTGGGCGGATGGGGCGGGGCCGTGCTTGATGCGGCACATACTGGTGCAGGCAGTGGCGAGGAGCACATTCATTTTGTGACGCTCGGTTGGAAGCAGCACGGTGGTTGGCAAAAGCGTGCGGGAAAAGCGAGCGCCAGTCTCTCTTTTTTCCCTCTCTGTCCGCGCCCAGCGCCTGTGCTGTGAGACAGTTGTATTCTAAGAATTCTTCTCTCTCTCTCGCGATGTTCCTGACGGCGATACAGCGCAGGCACGGGCTATACTTGTCGGTGATTGCGCCCACTTTCGTCGAGAAGGCCGCCGCGGGCGTGCACGTCTGGGAGAGTGCAAGGCCAAGGGCGACTCCCTCGCCAACTCCAACAAAGGCGACCGCACCTCCAAGCACAACGGGGTGCTAAGGGCCGCCCAGAATGCCATCCGGGCACGCTCGGTTGGCAGCATCATCCTCGGGGACAAGGAGAAGCCCGAGGTGACGCGGCACCTCAACGACACGTCCGTGACTGACATCTGCGAGCTCGGCGGCGACTTCGCCACGATGCGGGACGTGGATTACGAGGTCAAGTGCTGGAACCCGCTCATCAAGTCGACGACGGCGGGGAGGGGCTCGTGGGACAATGGTGGCAATGTGGCGTCGGTGGGCCACCTCTACGGGTTTGGAAACACGCTGGACAAGGCGTTGACGGGGGGGTCGTGGGGTGCAAGGAGCGTGGCCGTCAGGTGGACGGACCGCTCGACCACTCGACTGGAAAGGGATGGGTCAAAGACCACGGGTGACGGTCTAGAAGAATGCTCAGGAAGAATGCATGCAGGCTGGAAGTGGATGGGGCGCAGTACTACGACGCAGCTACGACGCGAAGTGGGTCAAGAAAGCCATAACGCGGCTGGTGCTCGTGGAAACTTTGGGTGGCATTGCGCCGCCCACCAGGCAGTTCCTCCACGTGTTCGCCAAGGAAGCGGCGGGCACCAACACGGACCGGACGGTGTACGGGGCGGCGTCGGCGAGCGCCTCCTCCTTCGTCGTCCACCACACGCAGCAGATCTCCATGGCGGCGGTGGCGGGCGACGCCGAAAACATCAACAAGCAGGCGCGCAAGATGCGCACCAACTGGATCAAGAACAAGCAAGCGGCAAACGGCCTCTTGTCCGGCCCCAGTGGAGGGTGCCCGCGCCGCCTAGCTCCGCGGACGGGCCCCTCCACCCTTCACGACAAATGACGTGTGAGTGTTAGAGTTGTTTGGTATTTGCTGCTAAAAATCTCTCTCTCCCTTCACGTACGGATCATGTTCATGTTCATGTAGTCCCCACAATCGCTGTCGTGGGATCGCTTCCTTGTCATAGTGCGTTGTGTTCTTGTTTGCTATCCGCTTTCTCTCTCTCTCTCTCTCTCTCTCTCTCTCTCTCTCTCTCTCTCTCTCTCTCTCTCTCTCTCTCTCTCTCTCTCTCTCTCTCTCTCTCTCTCTCTCTCTCTCTCTCCCTACCTCCCTCCCTGCCTCCCTCCTCCGTCACAACATAAGAAAACGCTGCACGGCGTGTTGACTCAGCGGCTGTGTGCGTGGACACACCTCTTCGCTGCACGATGCCTGCGATGTCCCTCACCTCGTTTATCGCGCCGGCGGGTCGCGCCAGCGGGTCCTGCGTTAACGTCAAGGCGGGAGGCCGCACTCGGGCCGCCCTCCCCAGCGACGTCACCTGGGACGCGAGCGAGGCCGCCTGCCAGGAGCAGTGCCTCGGGCTGAAGTGGTGCACTGGATACGAATACCAGATCTTTACCCGACCGCGCGGCCGCACGCGCTGCATCCTGCAGCGGCTCCCCATCAAGCAGGCCGTGCCGGCGACCGCCTTTGACGCCGTCTGCAAGATAAAGGTGAGAAACGTCCGGCTGCCCGCCGCCTCCCCACCGCCGCCGCCACCCCTGCCCTTCGCCCTGCCGCAAGGCGTGCGGTGGGCGCCACCGCCATCGCCTTTACCGCCACCCGCGCAGCCGCCGCCGCCCTCTCCGCCGCCGCCGCCGCCGCGCCCGCCCACTCCGCCTCCTCGCCCTCCGAGTCCGCCTCCCAGCCCTCCGCTGCCATGCAGCGTGGTGCCGCGGGCGACGTGCGGCGGCGGCCTCGCCTGCTACAGGGACGAGGCATGCTACACGCCGTGGAGAGACGCGCATAAAGGCCTGGGATGCAACGCCGGGTCCGTCCATCCCGCCTGCCGCTACTGCGGCGGCAGAGATATGCCACCGTGCCCAGAAGAGCCACCGCCCTCGGCGCCGCCGCCGCCGCCGCTGCCGCCGCCTCCTCTTCCGCCGCCGCCGCCGCCGCCCTCGCCGCCCTCGCCCTCACCGCCCCCACCGTCACCGCCACCCGCGCGCCCGCCGCCGCCCTCGCCGCCGCCACCTTCACCGCCGCCACCTTCTCCGCCGCCCTCACCGCCGCCGACGCCACCGCCGCCGCTCCCGCCGCCACCCACGCTGCCGCCGCCGTCGCCGCCGCCACCGTCGCCGCCGTCGCCGTTGCCGCCGCCCTCGCCGCCGCTTTCGCCGCCGCCCTCGCCGCCGCCGCCGCTCCCGCCCTCGCCGCCGCCCTCGCCACCCCCCTCTCCGCCCCCGTCACCGCCCCCCTCTCCGCCCCCGTCGTCGCCACCGCCGCCGCCGCCGCCGTCGCCGCCCCCCTCACCCCCCCCTTCACCGCCGCCGTCGGCGCCCCCCATGCCGCCGTCGCCACCGCCGTCGCCGCCGCCGCCCTCGCCCTCTCCTCCTCCCAACCGATGCCTGTTCGAGATTTACCCCGGCATGCATTGCACCTCCAGCCGGCGGAGTGGTGACTGAACGACTCACCCGCCACGGCTTGCTTCGCCGCGTAGGCACTCACCTCCAGCCGGCCGGCACGTACCGCGAGATGGAGCGCTGCCTCTTCCTCCAGCGAGCAGACTTGCGCGGCGCAGACCTTCAAGGCGCGCGACTCGACCGCCTCGGGGACACGTCCCGGGCACGTCCCGGACACGTCCCTTCTGCCGTGCTTCGGGTAGGGGCGCGACTCGACCGCGCAGACTTCACCGGCGCAATTCTCGACTACGCAGACCTGCGGCACCACCTCCCCTAGCCCCTCCCTCTCCCCCCAAGACCTCTCCCCCCAAGCCACTCGTCGCCGTAGGTGGCGGCTGTCATCAGCAACGTGAGGCCGGTCGCATCACCCTCCTCGTACGTCGCGTTGACCCGCCCGCCGCCGCCGAGCCACTCCAACAGCGCCGGCTCTTCGCCATCTGCAACCGCCGACACAACCTCGGGAGGAAGCACCGCGCCGCCCTCCTCCACCGCCAACGCAGGCGAGACTGGGCGGGTGGGTGCAGACATCGCCGCCTCTGCATGCTCCTCGAGGGCGCGCACGCACTCGGCGTGGCCCTTCTCCTTGGCCATCTCCAGCGCCGTCGTGCCAAACTCATCGCGTGCTGTCATGTCTGCGCCCGCCCGCAACAGTTGGGATACGACAGCGGGATGGCCCGCGCGGGCGGCGTGCATCAGCGCGGTCAAGCCCTCACTGTCTTGCAGGTCGATGTCCGCTCCGTGCCTCCAGAGATTATATGCGACGGTGGATTGGCCGTCGAGGGCGGCGTACATCAGCGCGGTCCAGCCGTTGTTGTCCTGAAGGTCGATCTCCGCGCCGGCCCCCAGCAGCAACTCGACTACGTGATCGCGGCCGAACGAGGCGGCGTTCATCAGCAGCGTGGCGTCGTCATCGTACGTCGCGTTGACCCGCCCGCCGCCGCCGAGCCACGCCAACAGTGCCGGCTCGTTGCCTTCTCGAAGCGCCGCCTTCACAGCCTCGCCAGGAAGCGCGCGGCCCTCTCCGCCTCCCTGCGGCGACGGCGCAGCCGCATCGGCCGAGGAAGCGTCGCCCGCCCCGCCCGCTGCCTGGCGTTGGTCCCTCATCTCCTCGAGGTACCTCCGAAAGGCGTCGACGCACGCGGCATTGCCGCTTCGTTTCGCCAGCTGCAGCGCCGTCTGTCCAGAATCATTTCGCATCGCCATGTCTGCGCCCGCCCGCAGCAGGCGCAGCACGACGGCGGGGCGGCCGTATTCGGCTGCGGCTAGCAGCGCTGACGCGCCGCCGACGCCGCACTGCCAGTTTACCTCCGCGCCGAGCTGCAGCAACAGGTCAACCACGTCTTCGTGGCCGCCTTCCGCGGCACACGCCAGCAGACGGTACTCGGCGCCAAACACTTCCAGCGTCTCGTTGACGTCGCCGCCGCCGGCGACCCACGCACGCACGGCCGCCTCGTCGCCGCTCTGGGCCGCATGCACGACCCCTGCGGACTGCTCGAGGAGATCAGTGTCCGCCATACCTGGTAGAGAAGCTCGCGAGTAGTCACTTTGTCGAAGGCCGCGAGGTCACGGCGGTCACGCTCGCGAGGCCGAAAGAATTGAAAAAAAAGCGTAAATAACAAAACAAAAAAAAGACGTGATATTCACGGTGTCCAGTCGTCGTGATTGTTGCTGGTCCTTCGCCTTGCCTTCGCTACTTCATACCGCCGCCTCCCTGCCGCCGCCGCCGAGAGCCACATGTCTGATCTCCACGGCGATGCCGACCTAGGCTCTGGCGAGGCTGGCTCAGGCGACGGCGTCCCGTTGGAAAGCGAACCTTTGCCGCAGGCACTGCTGCCGATTGTTGGGATTGCTTTGGCGAGCGTTGCAGTGATCGCTGCTTGCATGGCGCACATGAGATGGAGGGGGCCAGGGCGCATCAAGGGCCGCTTGATTGATGACCAACTCGTTGAACTCGGCGGAGCCTCCACTGTGTCTGACGATCAGCTCTCGACATGAGACGAGGGCTCCAAGGCCGGTTGCAGCACCGCCCATCCCCACGACATTGCCGTTGCCCAAGCTTCGCCGATGACAGGACGGACATGACGCAAAGCCACTCCTGTCGTGTCTTCTGATTCGGATGCCCTTGCTTTGCCGCTTGTGCCTACAGTCCGCCTCGTTAGACTGGCTCTCGTCTGCCGGCGGCCTCCGGCCTGCCCCCGCGGCCCCGCACAACACAATATCTTTAAGCGAGGAAAAGGGGTAGGCCTTCTAGTCATTGAAAGAATGCACCGTCACCCTTCAAAAAAAGAGAACTGGCCCCCTGCGCTGCCGGCCAACGGCAACGCAGAAGAAGAGAGAAAGCAAAAAAATCTCGCGCGCGAGCGCGTGTCCAGTGGCGGGCAAGTGTTCTCTCGGTGCTCGTTCTTTGTCTCGGCGGCCATCTTTGGGTTCGCGCGCACGCGCTTGCGCTTGCGGGAGGGGGGCGGCGGCGCAGCTTCCGGCGCGGCGCTCACTGCCACGCCGGAAGCCTCCTCCGCGCCGGTCAGCCGCCACCTGCGGCCGTGTGTGCGCACCAGCGCCAGGATCTTCTCGTCTTCCTCCTTGCTCCACGGCTCACGCGCTGCCTATTGATCAATCCATTGATCTCTTGAACCATCCCTTTGATAGGCCGCAGGGGTGGAGCAAGCGCTGCCGCCTGCTCCGCCTCCCACGCCTCGAAACCCGCCAGCTTGAGGATCACGCGCGGGGCCTCTTCGCCGCCGCTCCCCTCCTCCTCCTCCACCTCCTCCTCCTTGCTCCGCTCGAAGCGCTCCTGGTGCCGCTTGAGTGCCCACGGGTCGTCGCGCGAGCGCTTGTCTGCGCGGTGCGGGCGAGGAGTGGGTGGGGGCAAGAGGTGGGGACTCCTCGCCCCGCAGCGACTCACTTTGAAACCAGGTCGACACTCGCCGGGGAGTCGTCTGCAGCTGCTCCGCCAGCGAGGCGCGAGTAGGCGCGGACGGGTACGGCTCGCGGCTGTAGACGGACTCGAGGAGCAGCGATCCGCCGGGAGGGACCTTCCACCGCAGCTCTGAGCTCGCCGACGAGCTCGCCGACCGTCTCGGTGCCTCCTCCTCGTTGTCGATCCCCTCCTCCTCCTCCTCCACCACCATCATGTGGGGCAGTTGAGGAAGGGGGTGTTGTTCCGCCCCATGGAGAAGCGCCATTCACCTTTTAAGGGGTAGTTTGGTTCACCGTCCCGCTGGTCCGCCCGGCAACCCGAAGCTCCTCGCCCCCTTCCCGCACAATGCCGCTGCATCCGAAGGGATGGGTTTCCACCCT